CAATAGTTTCACAGTTCAAGTGCCAGAGCAAAACATTGGAAGTGCTTATTATATTTTGACATTTCTRTRTTTATATATATTTATGCAAAATAGTTAACCAGTTAGCTGTTCTCTTTTTCTCCTTTTGGAAAGATGAGAAAGGTGTGTTTTCATAAAATTTCTAGCTCAAATGTTCCTTGACATGGTGAGGGGACTGAAAAGACCTTCTCTGGTTTCAGACATTTTCCTTGACTGCCTGGCCAGCCTTTCGATAACAATGTCACATGCACAATATTTCCCTTTCAAGCTGGTTGGTTTCCAGATCCTCTGYTCTGATTCTTGCACTTCTTGGCTGCAAATTTCTGTCTCCCACAAGCTCCCTCTTGTCTTTAGTGTGGCTGCATCAGTTGCATTAATCAATTAAGTTGCTGTTACTCCTCTGGCACATTACAACAGCCCTTAAATGCATGTTTCTCTTTCCGTGGTTCAGTTTTCTTAGGGCACAGGATGAATATTTCATCCAAAAGTACCAGATTTTGCAATTATACCTGCCCCTAGGCTAATTCTCATGGAACTGTGTTCTCTTMCTTTTCAAAATGCCTTTTTCTTTCCTTTGCTGTGGTATGAATTGTCCATGTCCTGTGCAGGGAAATCAGCTACTCACCAGCCACCCTCAGTCTGTGAAAACAAGGACAGGCCAATTTCCAGCCTTTTTCGGTTCTAGAACATTAAGGGTCTTTTGCAGTGAGAGCTTTAAGAACATTCAGAAAGAGACAATGAGAATGTGGGTATTTTGATTTTTTTTGTTTGGTTGGGTTTTTTTTTTGTGCTGTACCTCTATGCATCAAATGCAAACAGGAGCATCCTGGTATGTTTTAGGCAAAAAAAAAAAAAAAACTTGAAGACCATTAACCCATTTTTTTGGCCAAATTGTGCTCAAATCTGCAAGCCTTCTCTAAGGAGAAGAAAAGTCAAATCTATGTGTAAATTGGGTGGAGTTAAAAACTGGAAGACAAAAGCTGTGCTTTTCTTCTGGCTGCGAAGACGGACTGTTGCAGACAACACAATATTTTTCACTCCTGTGTCATGGTAATGAAAAAGAGCTCATCTCTCTGGTGTGGGGCTGTGTGGACTCCTGTCTTGGCCTTATAAGAACAGCCAGAAGTAGTGGTATGCACAGGCTCACTGTACAATAGGATTCACTTTTTAATGCAGTGGTCACTCCTGGGCCTGGTGTCATTAGGACATGTGGGGGATGTCACTTGCTTAGCTGGAAGCAGGTTGGGATTTTCGATAGGTGTCAGGTCCTGTAAGCAAAATCAGATGCGGTAGTTTCCAACAGTTGTCTTGTAACAGCTGCACAAATAAATCCACACTTTATAAAATTCAGTGTGACAATGCCTACTGTTAAGAATCTCACAAGCTCAAACAATAAACCCAAGTGAATCTAATCAATTTGTAGAGAGCTCATTGAAAATAGATTTCAGAGAGCTTGACAGAGCCACAGCGCATGAGGAGTCACAACGAGCTCACATTTGGGAATTCTGTCAAAGGATGCACCTGACCACTGAGGTGGATCCTGCTGCTGTMTTGCTGCTATAAGACAGACAGCAGGGCAATATTTATGTGGCAAACAACAGATAATGTTTTTCCAAGAAAATAATTACTCACCTTTTCCGCGCCTGGTGTGCAACTGAATTTGCTTTGAACTTGTAACTCCCTGTCTGGCACCATCTTGCACGCAATGTACAGAAGAACCAGGCCCTCATCTCTTGCCTTTGATTGCAAGAACAGGACCACAGCCATGGGAACCAAATCCCTGAGCGGGGACATGCAGCCACTTCAGTGGTGAGAAATACAACCAGGAAACAACATTCTATACCAGGTGTATTCATGTGTGCATGCTGATTTACCCCTACTGGTTTAGCCCGACATCAAGAGGAAAAGAAGTCAATCAGAAATATTCAGATCCATGCCTGGAAACAAAACAACTATGCTACAACATTGAGGCACAAGGAACCTAAGAGAGAAAGAGCACCAGTCTTGTGCTGCCTTGCAAAAAGTGGGAAGGAAGGAAGAATTCAGGACAGTGAGCTGTTACAATTGGGAAGGCTGGCTTTAATTTTCTCTTCTTTCCCACATTTTCTATCCTATTTTGAGGAAGGCAAATTGTCAAAAGTGTCAAACTGTCAAAGAYGTCAAAACCCAAAGCAACACACAGCTCTCCAGAGGGACTTTAAAATCAGCAGGGACTTAAATCCCTCAGGACTTTATCAGAAAAAGATAAAAATTATTCTTGCCACTACACTGCATTCTCTTTGACTCTGCTGCTGTTCCTGCCTCTCTGAAATACTCACGTGCATCACTGCTGTGCTGTGGCAGTTGGGGAAGGTGCTGTCATCTCACCAGCCCAGGCTGTCCCCACATCTCTGTTCTCCATCAGTAACAGTCTCCACCCCTCTTGCCTACAAAGGCAGGCTCTCTGGTGGCAAAAGTGCAGTGGAAAAAGCATAGCTACAACTGGGTTTCTGAGGGAGCCTCACCATGAAAGCAAAGCTGACAGCACAGAAAGGCAAAGCACAGATAAGAACATCAAGAACAGAACTCAGACAATTACTAACATATCCACAGCATGGCCAAAACCTGAACATCAAAATCTGGTATTCAATGACTTTGAATTAGAAATTACAGCAATAAGCATAATCTGATCAACATCCTAATTGTYCATTCAATTCTCCCATGATCTGCTGCACTGTGACACTACTTGAGCCTGGCTCACTATTCATGCCCTTGTTTTACATCAGCATAACTCCACTGGTGCCAAGCTGAAGTCGGAAGCACATCTGTTTGTCAGAGACAGATGGAGGATGTGAGATCAARTAATATTTAATCTCTACTGAATCAGATTCTGCTTGTTTCTGGAAAACTTCAGCTCAGTCAACATACSTGCCACAACTAGAATGAATTAAATGCACATGGGAACTCCACATGAGAACAAAATAATCTGCAACCTCATTTATTGCAGCTTCTCATACATTCATTTCCTCAATATCCACAAGGGGAAATAAAATCTGAGTGGGGGACATGCTGCAAGAAATTACATCTGTGACTCTCTTCCAGGTACCCTTTTCTGCCCCAATCTCTTCTGAATCACATAGACCAGAAGTATAAATCCGGGCTATGAATCTGGACTGCTGTATGGAATGTGCTKGTAAAAAATTAATGTCCTTCCCATTATATTCTAAGCTTACTTTATTTGCACACAAATAAACAAGCTAAGTTAAACTTCATAAAGGAAATATACCCTACAGATGCACAGAGTTAATGCTGACTGCATTACACGTATCATATAGCTATTTCTTCACTTAAAAAAACATATATATATATATATATGTCCCCCATTATTATTACATATATATATAAGGAAACTACATATTAAYACAATGGAAAAATACATTCAAAGCTTTTTATAAAACTTGGCACAATATTATTTTGACTGTAATAAAAATATTTATGAGAGAAAGACAGATGCACAGAGAAACACAAATACCTAATGTCTAGTGCGTCATCTAAACCTGAAAATAAAATTTAGTCTTTGGTATTGCTAAACAAAGTTAAGTTGCAAGCATCTACAGTCCCAGCTTACAGTCTCCATTCCATCCTCTCTCACTGTGTTACCACCACTTTGCACAGGCTTTGCTGGCTGCAAGTTTCCATAATAATTTGCAAACAGGCAGAGAAGCAAAACCAGCTAAATGAGTAGTGTCTCCTTTCAAGGGCTCAATCCAACCTTCATTAAATTCAATGGAAAGTATTTTATTGCCTTATTCAGGCTGAAGGTTATCCAAAATATTTAAATTGATTTRTTGTCAAAGCGATGGTCACCCAGTAGTGAAAAATAATTATAATGATGTAACAAACCAYGGAACTGCCCCTGTGGCATTCCCTTCCTCATTTCCCCCTTCCCTGTGGGAAAAGTCATGACCAGCAGCTAAGGAGAYGATCCAGCATTTATGAGTAACTAAACCCTGAGCACACAGCAAGAGTTGCCTGGGAGGTTTTCCATCCAGCATGTGAAATGCAGGAATGCTGTGGCAACTTCAGTCATGAAATTTAGATTGGACTTGGTCTCAGCAGGAGCTGAAATAAATCCAAGAAGTGGTTGCAGATGCATKCATCCCATAAGCCCAGCATGAAACCCAGGAACATCCCTATTTCAACAGCAGCTATKGTTCATAACACAGAGCAGCATAATTTTTCTGCATAAGCTGTGAATRCACAACATCCATCTGCATTTTTATCCTGCAAGGTAAAAGCTTTTTGTCCAGCTATTTTATCTTCACACTACATAAAAGCAAAGCATTTTAAGAAAGGCACATGGTTCTTTGAAGCAGTGAGAGAAATACATACCACAGTCTGATTCTCTAGACAACTTCTATTATGGATGTACCTTGTTTCTTACTGGATTTTAATTTGACCTATCTCTCATATCCAACCTGGTGCAAAACTAGATGGGCAGAGAGACAGCTGCCCTTTCAGCTGCAGCATCAGATCAAATCAACCTTTCRGTAAAAGTCTCTTTTCTACACATTTCTGGACCAATGCAATACAGGACATTTTGGAGAAAAGCAAAACACAGCAGAGAAGATGAACAAGTGTCTATAGTGTTAGCTATTGACAAATGTCGCAGTTGTTGGCTTCTGATATCCACCCTCTCTACCCCAAAAAAGATGTGTGGTAGCCTTGTTAGTATCAAAATTTTAGTGATATTTTTAGGGCCAAAACCATAGATCCTATCAATAGTATCTGAAAACATTGATAGGGACACTGTGTATCAAAAAAAAGTTCAGGGTAAGTCTGCTGACTGAACACATGCCCTTSTTATAAAGGGATGGACATGGATTTTGGTGCATCATCCAAACAAGTTCTGGTTGTGGCACTGTCTTCTAKTCTTCAAGGAGTTCTGTGCAATTTGTGTAACTTGATTCTAAGCAAGAAAGAAGATAGCAGGCTTACAACCAATGCTATGAGTCTCTATAACAATCCCAGAAGCAAAAATGGTCAGAAATCCTTGTCCCAGCCTGAAAGTTCATCTGGAGGGCTTCCCACTTCAGGTGGATAGCTGTCAAAGTAGCTGTAATCAGTCGGTCCAGACAACTAGGATATTAAAAACACAAACAAAAAAAAAGTTGCTTCAGAAAGTAACTTTTGAAAATGTTCTCTATTGATTATGCATCATTTTTGTTCCTCCCCGTGTGGAAATGAAAGGCTAGTATGACACAGATGACTTCTTGCAATGCATGCAATTTCTCATTCTTTAAAAGATATACCCTCCAGTAATTTCGTTGTACAACAGATCAATGGCATTAGCCTTCTTATACAAAACCACTTCCCAAATACTGCAGAATCCTAGATTTTACCCAAAATCCTGTAAATTCAGTAAGAAAACAGTTCCACACTTTACAATTTTGGTGCAATTCAAGTCCAAACCTGCACTTATAGGATAGCAACTCGAAGCAGACTTCAGAATTACTTTTTGTTTCAAACTGAGATCAAAATGAGTTTTAAATGCCTTACCCTTAATCTTTTTTCATTTTAGGGCAAAGACAAATAGGCTGTTTAAAATTGGGAGCTTACTTGACGATGTGCTGTAACTCAGCAGTAAGAGAACACAGGAGTTTGTTCTCTTCACAGTAATGTGAACAGTGCATCTTAATAATGTGCCCATTACCAAGGGAGATGTATTTTTTCAATAGGAATTTCTGACCGAACACCATTTGTTCTAGTAATGGTGAAAAYGTAATGCAAAGTACACAGGCAGAGTAATGTTTCCATTATTTAGCTGAATGTAAGTTATGAATTGCTTGCTGTCTCTCTCTCTTTCAATTTTCACTAAAAAAGTTGAACTGCAATAATTCAAATGCATCTTTGGGAAATTTTGCTATCTCCATCAGTTCTTTGTAGCCAAGCTGTGTTAGTAAAGCTGAAATTATACTGAAAGCCAATACCTCTCTTTTTAAAGGCGACGTTAATTTCCTCACTTTCAGGCTATCCCAGTTAAAACCACTCAACCACCTGGTCAAAAAGAGATGAAAGACAGGCAGGGAGAGACCAAAAGAGAAAGACAGGTTGTTTTCTGACATTATACCACAAAGAGCTGAAAATCCCATGAATAAGGGCTATAAGAAGATTTTTCATGCCAACTCCTGTTRCAACACAGTTAAAAGGAGGAATCTTGAGCACTGTCATTGCCATACAAGGCAGGGGCAGCTTCAGGAGCAACTTCAGGAGAAGCAGCCACTTTGACACTACTGTGGAGAGGAGAGACAGGTTAAGGCATGCAGAAATACAACCATGCAGAGACTTGTGTGTCTCCTTGGAATTCCACCCTTTTTACAGCCTGAGAAGAGGGAGACAAGCAGAAAAATCAAAGAACTTCTTTCCCCAAGCACCAACTGCAGGGCTTAGAAATGACTCAGATAARAAGAGAAAGCAGAGAATGGTTAATCTACAGAGGACTTGCTTCATTAGAAGAAAGACTTGCATTAGAAAAGTTAATTAGAAGAAGGACTTTCTTCATTAGAAAAAAGAGGATAARAACCTAAAATTATTGCTCTGGAGCTCTTAACTACTGATTATTAAAAAGTAACTGSTGAAGGGTCAGGAGGTCTCAGAGGCAGATGCTGAACTGGCATCAATTTCTCTGAGAACTGCTTTAAACTCCTACATCAACAACCTGCAGCAAAACCAGTAAAAAATACGGTATTGCTAGATAATTATGCTGAGGATTTATGTTCATATTGTTGCTTGCTATAGTTGCAAATATACTCAATAGCAACAAAGATGAGTTTTGCAGACTGGTTTCTAACATATTGAAAAGATTTCAAATTAAACCCCAAATTTTCTTCTTGGAAGTCTCTTTTGCTTACCTGTGCTTCTTGATGTCATTAATTCCATTTCTCAAATTGCCTAATCTTTCTGTAGGATTTTGCCTTTCAAAAACAAAGGAGAAAAAGAATAAGAATTTATAAAATATTCCTATTTTAAAAAGAGAATTTGTAGGTCCTAACTACTTGCATTTAACAGCTGCACAGGGATGGAGCTTGCATAAAATCTGTGGTCTCATGAGGAGACATAATGCAGTGTTGTTCACTGCCCTTTTTTTTTTCTCTGAGGATAGAGAAACCTTCTCGAAAACCAAAACAGTGACACTCAGCTGTGAGAAGCAGCAGAAGGAAATCAGCTGGCTGAATTTTAGTTGCAATCATTTGTTTTTCCTGGCCAGTAGGTCTGCTCATAAATTACAAAAGAAGGAAGATCAAAATTTACAGCTACAAAGATCCTTTCAATTGAGGTACACAAGAATGTTGAATACTGTTCCTAGTGCTAATGGATGAAATCCCACAGGAGCTGGGAATCCAAAGTTAGCGGTGTCACCAGTCAGAGGTTGTGAAATGCCACCTTCTGCACATTTTCAAAGGGACTTAAATCAGTCTTTAGGTGCTCTATTTTTCCTGTAGGATCTATATGCCTAAGTCATTTTGGAAGCTTTTTTTTTTTTTTTTTTTTTTTTTTTTTTTTTTTTTTTTTTTTTTTTTTTTTTTTTTTTTTTTTTTTTTTTTTTTTTTTAACAATGTGCTTGATATGAAAATCAAATTCCTTAGCTCTTTCCTCAGCCCACGCTTAATAAGTTTTCCCAAAGATGTGTTTCAGAAAAAATTTCCAGCTACAGAGAAAGCCCAGAGCCTCTGCTGCCTCTGCAGACTCAGAGGTGTGACACGATTTCTGGGGCATGCAATGCATACTGAATATAATTGAAATAGACCATGCCATGCATAACAATTCCTAATGAAGTTGTCAGGAATTCAGTGCTGGAGCCTGAATCCTAAAAGATCTCAAAGTACCTACACTGAAGCTTTGCTCCAAACTGCCCCTCTTACCTGCAGAGTTTGCGGATCAAATCCTCAGGTCGCCTCGTTATTATCTTAGGAAAATCCAGCTTTTCAATGCCTTTGAGAATCAAATTGTATGTCATCATTTGATCAGCCCCAGAGAATGGTGGGCTAGAATAAGAAAGCAGCACTGGTAAATGGAACATCTGGCAAGAGCAGATGTGGCCAGTACTTATCAAAATAAATATTTGAGARTATAAGGAAAAAAGCCCACCTTCCTACTTTTACAGCCTTCACCCTTTCAGCCTATTTAAGACATTAGAAAGGCTTGAAGCTTAGGAGCTTCCCATAGGTACCAGGGAAAATGCATGACCACAGGGGTTCCTCTAAGCTAGCCCTGCCTCCAGCCTAAYTCAGAGAAGTTTCCACCTTGTTTTGCTACAGAGCATTCCCAAAGAGTTGTCATGGAAGTGTACAGGGAGATAAAGAGTTGAGCTCTGCTTACAGTTCCCCCACCCATCACCCACTAATGGGRAAAAGAACAGTCTGTTGTCACTTGTGCCTCACAGGAAACATCACCAGCACTTTCAGGAGCCCTACAGCAGCCAATTACAGCTCATGCCTGGCCCTTTCCTTGGGTGGATAAGGCAGAACTGAGAAAATGTAACCCACTTTTTTGTGGCATTTCTGAAATGAAAGAGGCAAAAGGAATTTTGCAAGGCTGTCTAAAAATAACCTTGGAAAGATTTATAAAAACAAACTAGGTAAGAACTTTGAGTAGGAGGCACTTACCTGCCAGTGAGGAGCTCATACACAAGAATCCCAAGGGACCAAAAATCCACACTGAAGTCATGGCCTTTACTCAGAATGACTTCAGGGGCAACATACTCAGGGGTTCCACAAAACGTCCACGTTTTCTGCCCTGATCCAATCTTCTTTGCAAATCCAAAATCAACCTGATCAAAATCAACATATGCTGCATAATGCAGAGGTGTTTTGCACTGGGAAGCCTTAAGGTCTTAATTAYTTCCTCACCTACTGCAAAGATCTCAGAGTTGCTAGCTTACATCTAAAACCACCACCGGGAATTGTGAAGGAAAGAGAGGTAATCCCACTGGATTACTGAATGTTATAAACCAGATCCATTTATTATCACAAGCAATTTTCTGAATTATTTTCCTTTTGGGGAGAAAAACCCATTATTTCCTTCGGGACATGAGATTTGCTGTCCCTGGARAACAGTGAGTTGCTTATTGTCTTCAGAATGGGTATTTCAAGTGCTCTGAAGGGTATTCTTGTTGCACTTCTCCCAGTCACAGTCAAGCATTGCTGGAATTCTTTACTGTGCTCCCTCTCATCAGAGAGAGGGAACCTATGTTGTAAATTGAATCAATGACTGTTGAATCCATGATTGCTCGAGGCTGGACAGGGAAGTAATTCTGCACCTGGGAAATGTGGTTTCTGTCTCCATTGAAACCTGCTGCTGGGAGAATTTTTTTCTTTTGCTGTTTATACTGTGGCAAGAGCTCTCAGAGGCTGCAATCCCCCAGTTTGCCTGTGGCTTGCAATGCCTTTGCAACACCTTTGTTTCTCATTGTGCAGCGACAAGCTTGCCCTCTTTATTGCTGAAGCACAAGAATTATTAAGCTCCAGGATCCTGGTTCTATAATTACACACTGTCTATTTTTATCCCCCCTGCAAAGAAACTTGGCACAAAAGGATAACATTACAATGAATTACATCTTACCARTTTTATATATCCTTCAGCATCCAAAATCAAGTTTTCTGGCTTCAGGTCTCTGTAGATAATTCCTATTTGATGTAGATAGTCAAAGGCCTCTGTCACACACCCAACACAAAACTTGGTGGTGAATTCATCAAAGCTGCCTCTGGAGTAAAAATAATCACAATTAAGTTCTGAAAATGCCTCCATTATTAACCAGGTAATATCTAACACCCAGAATATTAACCAAACTGAACCAAACAAATTTTCATTGGACAGCCTTTGAATGGAGAAGCTACTCAGTAGCCCCATGGGGCTGACTGGTGACTTTAAAGGGCAAGGCTGCCCCTATTTRCTGTTACCTGTCTCTCAGCAAGCTCCACAATTCCCCTCCAAGGCAAGCCTCCAGGAGCATGTACACATACTTGTTATCCTTGAATGTGCGATACAGCCTGTGGAGACAAACGACAGCAATTTAGGAAAAGCAGAATTAAAAGCGAGACTTGCAGCATCTTTCCTCCAGAACTCATGTGTGCCAAAACTCATTCCTAACAGTGCTGCCTAGGGGTCACCTGGGGGCCAATGTTCAAGGAATCCTTCTGGTCAACTTACTTTACAATGAATGGAGAACATATCTGCTCGAGGATTTTCTTCTCAGAATAGATATGCTCTTGTTGTTTGGTGTCCACTACGTGTTTCTTCTTTATACATTTCATAGCAAAAGCCATGTTCTCATTTTTCACTTTAACCTTTGAATAAAAATGATGAAAACACATGAGGCAAAGAAAGGATGATTAACCAAATTGTTCCCAGTAGACACACKGATACCCATCTTTTTAAACACAGCACAGGACTGAAACTGATRTCTGTAACAAGGGACAAATTCCAGATTTTCTGCAGAGTAGTTATGTATGATTTTAAGCCAAGCATCAGATCTTTCAGTTTCCCAGTCCCCACTAGCAAAGTAACATTTTCCCTTTGTTCATGTTRCATACACAAAATAGCAACAGCTTGGATAGGTGCTACATATTATAATGAGTTTATATCATTGTAATGGGTCCCAATTTCAATATAAGATTTCTAATCACCAACATAATACAAAAAAAAACAAAAAAGAGAGGCAGTTTAGGAAGAATGTTTGCARATGATTTTTCATTACCCTGAAGTATTATCCAGCACACAATAAAAAGATGGAAGCTAAAACAGGGCCTCTCAGAAATGAAGGAAGCAGGTATCTGTGTTCTGCAGCTGGATGAGAATTCAATTTTTAGCTTAGTATTCAGGTGCTGCAGTAGAATTCCAGAGTGAATTTTTTATTTTTTTTGTGAAACATGAATCAGAASGAAACAGTAGATGGTCTAACTACTGTAAAGGATTATTGACTTCACTAAAAGCACAAAGCCTCCTTTAATTTACCATTACCTTCAGCAGCCTGCACTAAAAGCATTCAGGTTTTTGTCAGATGCTTGGGACTCAGCCAGAGGCAGTGGAATTTAAGGCTTTGGGCTAATGAGGCTCTCAGTAACCCAGAAGCACAGCTGTTCACGCTGTTGAATATGACTCAAAAGAGCCTTTGCAAATTGTTGGAAATTTCCCAGTGAGCTCAACTCAGAGATAGCTCAGGCTGGCTGTAGCTGCTGTGGGGCATGCAGGAGCAGTTCCRAAAGCACAGACTGTGTGGTGCCATTCAGATTGCTCCAGGTCCAGGCAGACTCCTGGAAAAAGGCCTGCAATTCATGGAACATAATGTGGGCAGGCACATCTGTAAACTCCACATGCACAAACTGATGATTGTGTCTAGTGACCAGGAAGGTGCTTTTAACAGCAGGAGATGAAGGCACAAAAGAATGGATTTGCTTCTTTGAACACCCAAATCCTGAAATGCTTTTTAACTATGCATTGCTTTATGTAGAATTAATTCTGCCTGAARGGCACAAACACACAGAATACCAAAATCATTCACGTTACTCAGTGGCAAATCAATCATCCATGACAGAGAACTATGTGAATAATTTTAGAACAATTTCTTACAAGCTCAACCCTTCCGAACCCACCAACACCCAGAGTTGTGACAACTTCTAAATTCTGGAATGGGGAAGGAGGGAACTGGGCTACTTTCTCCTTCAGCTCTATCATCTCCAAAGACACCTCTTTGGTCAACTGTCCACAGAAGGATCTTCCTCTGCATCAAGAAAATTAACATAGATTAGTGATTTTCCATTACTTTTAATGCTCCTATAGGAAGGGGAAAGGGAGAAGGGGGGAGGAAAGGAAAGGAAAGGAAAGGAAAGGAAAGGAAAGGAAAGGAAAGGAAAGGAAAGGAAAGGAAAGGAAAGGAAAGGAAAGGAAAGGAAAGGAA